TCTTCTTGAATTATTCAAATCGGACGCTCCGTTCTCTTAAAAACTGAGTTTCCGTTTTCGGCACTTTTTGCCCCGTATCTTGGGAACGGCTAGACCTGCCTTTGCTAAAAACTAATCAGCCCGTCTTCTTATCAATACGAATCGAATGTTTTTTAAGTTATTCAAATCGGTTGATCCCTGTTCCCGAAATCGTCGAAAAAATTTGTATCCGAACTACATACATACAACACGCACACACATACCACACACACACACATACATCCATTTTTCTAAGGTGTGCCAAAATGTTCAGAAAGGTTTTGAAACGTAAAGATCTATAAAAATTTCATTTTCGATTTTTTTGCGATAAAAAATACACATTTATTATTATTTTTTTGAACGAATTCTATAAGCCGTTTTAGTAATTTTCTAAACTACGTGTTTGTTTCTGAAACTCAACCAACTCAACGATAGACCCACTCCCATTTTATGTATTTTATTACAAGAATTTTTAAATAGTTTAATTTAATGCAACAATGCCAAGGAAGGACTATTTTTACTTGAAAACATATTGCTATCTATATTTTTAAGTAAAAATCTCCGTCATAAAGCTCTAGAGACATAATCCACGGAAAAGCCCACATTGCGTTATTCAATTTCCAAAGCTCAATAAACAAAATTTGATTAAAAATTATAATTTACCTTGTTGTCCGGCGACTGAATGACGACATTCTGCAATCGCAGAAGTTGGTCGCAATTCGGCAACTGGCTCAGCAGAACGGTACCATGGATTTTGAGGGATGTTTTCCTGGGTATCGCCTCCGGATAATAATACTGATAGTGTACTGTCTAAGGCATATTCGTATGTATGTCCTACTTGATATGAGAACAGTGAACTCGCTGAAAGAATAATTATTTTGAACATTTGAAAATAATTATAAATTATGGTTACATATACAGTGTTAAATGTGCCCAATAAATTTATATTATATTTTGGTTGCTAGTAAGCTATTATTTTTTAAAAAGGCCCTTCAAATTACCAAAAATAACACTAATTTGATGGCAATAGTCAATAATCAATCATTTTAATAGGAATTAAAAGTAGATTCATAATTAAATTTTAACGTATTATTAAGTCCAAAAGAGTCAAAATTGCTTCTGTGGTCATTTGGAGAACTGAAGACAGTCTCAGAGGGGCTCACATTCAATGCAAGCCCCTCAGTTGCATTTTTGAGAAGCGGTGGATATCGGCCAATCGTCTCTATGAAGACCCGCATTTAGGTCCCCATCAATCATGAGAGTCGCATTGGTCGATATCTCCTACTTCTGCCCCCAGAAGCGCCAGACTCTTTAGCCATCCACCAATTAATTAAAATAATCGGTATATATACTTATAAAAAAACGCTGTACCACGAAACGCGAGCTTAGTCGTCGCAACGATTGTAAGTCATCTATGAAGCCTTCTTAGCTCATAGGATGCGTTTGGTTCTGATCTCTGATAAAACTAATTGTTTGACAAGTTGCATGAATTTTCTGGGAAATTCAACCTAGTTTAAATTTTTTTTGTTTAGAACACACACATAAATTGCTCCAGACTCATTTTTTAACATTTTATTATTCAATGAGACATGAAATTAAGAAACGTTTTAAAATTGTACGTTTAAAATTGTACAAATTAATGTGATACGTTTATTTTATTTCTTTCGTTTTTAAATTCTACAAGTATTGTTTATGGAAAAATGTAATGCATAATAATCTCGACATTGACTATTTAAGTTAACATGAATTGGTTTATTAACATAATACTCAGTTATTATATCATATTCATTATTCACATAATGAAATTTTAAACTAGTGGTTGCATGGTATCGTGTCTTAAGGCAAATTGTTGAACTTTCCATACCATATTTTAAAATTTTTAAAAACTTTACAATTTTTTGAAAACTTTATAAACATTTGATTTTTGAGAATGTTTTTTTTTTTGAAAAATTCGATTTTACTTATATTTTAAAATTTTTTGCAAATGTTGTATTTTTTTCAAAGCATACAATTGTTGCATAGCTATTTTAGAAATGAAATATCGAAGCACGTAAGCGTGATCAAACATTCTATAATCTTGGTACTGAACCCATAGAAATGCAAACAAAATTTGTAAAGATTTTTTTATTAACTTTCCGAAGGAGAAGTTTATGTTTTCATCAAAAATCCTATTCGCTAATTTTATGTTTTTTTGACGTTTCAAACCATTCTGAATTGAATGAGACCCAATTTGAAAAAAGTATGTGTGTGTGTGATTTCTCAAAAACGACTGGACCGATTACAACAATTTAAAAGCCATTCGATGTATCTCGATGAGGACTAGCATTTCTCAGTTTTGTGCGACGATCGCTCAAGCCGTTTTCTTTGTAATTTGGAAAAAAGTGTTAAACTTTTCGTCCACATTTAAACTATTACTGCCGAATCGATTTTAAAAAATCAAAAACTGTACGAAATATATTATTTGGAAAAAATACTGATTAGTTTTAGGTGAAAATCTACCGAGCCGTTTTCTTGAACTGTTGAAAAAAAAAATAAGGCGATTTTTATGGAACTTTTTCTGGCTATATATATCATGGTCTTATAGAACATACTGAAATATAACGGCCTTACGACAAGTAGTTTAATTTTAAAAATTTATCAAAGTTTGAGAAAATGAGTAGTTTTTTTGACGTTTGTGAAAATTAAAATTATACGATTTACTTGGTATAATGATAAAATACTTCGTCTTAATGAATATCCTAAACCATTAAAGTCCAATGAAAACTGGTTCAATTATAAAAATTATTGATTTTAGAAAATTTGCTTTAAGAAAATACTCCGAGTTAACGTGTTCGTTCGTTTTCGAAGATGTGTAATAAATTCACTCGAAATACTTTTATTCACTCATAAAATAATTTATATTTTATTGATTAAGTCGATTATTTACACATATCGGAAAGTTCATGTAACTTGCCACAAGGCAAAATACCAATACCAACTAGTTTATATTTGTACTATCAAAATAAAATTTCAAAATTTCTTATTATACCAAAAATACTATTAACTGTTAAAAAACAACATAAAAAATATGTATTTGTGTTGAATGTATTTGTGTGCTTTGAATCATCATCATCATATTTTTTTTAATAATGTAATATTTACGGCTTTTTCAAACAAATCGAATTATAAATGTTTTATAAAGAATCAAATTAAAATGTTGATGGAACGTTATATGTTAATTATATAACATAGTTGTATTGAAAATACTGATACTTATCGTTAGAAGAAATTTGTAAACGGCGCTGTCTAAAACATAAATTTAAACTTGTTTATTCCAGTATTTTCATTTAATTAACTTTTGTCTCAAAGTCAAAATATAAGCAGCATTGTGCAGCCAAGGGCAATTTTATTGAAAATAATAAGGCATCATCATTTCATAAGACTTAATTATTATATCAAATTATTTGATAAAAACTGATAAAAATTAATTTAAAATATATTCTTTGAGAATGATATGTGCTCTAACTACTATAATATTAAAATATATTATTTTAATTTAATACTTACAACTAGTGCATCCTGTGCTGCATTTAGCTGAAACAAAAATCAAACATAAATTAGTTATAAACGAATTAAATGGACAAAAGAAAGCTTATCTTCATAACACAATATGTATATAGACATGCATTATTCTCTCATATTTCCATAAAAACTCTTTGAAATTTCTTTATCTTAAGCAACAATATTTTTTTCCAATTAACCAAGTCATATCGTATAGCCGGTGACCCGTTTGACATCTGCAATTTGATAAAAGCTGTGCAAAGTATATGTGTAGTTGTTGATTAAAATTGTTATATTTTCAGCATTTTGACCTCCGATACTGCAAAAATTGCTTAGAGGGGTTTAGTAAACGTGCCAGCATTTTTTATGAGCAAGTTTCTATAATCTGTTGATATTAACAAGAAAGCTCCGGTCGCGGGCGACGAAAGGTCGCGCCCTTGTCTGGGTGACGCACTTTGGATAATTTTAGACTATTTGGTTTTCAATTCGAGAGAATTCGGTAAAATCCATGCCCGATCAGTTTCTTGTTATTGAAATGATAAGTTATCTTTTTAATAATAAAGTTATGAAACAACAATATTATGTAAATTCTAACATTCTAACATTTTGAAGTTCATAAACTATCTACTTGACTACAGTTGAGAAAATAATTATTTATTCTAGCTTTCATAAATCAAACTTACAGAAATATGTTGTTGGTTGAGTTGCTTGTAGGGTTTTTAAAAATCGGCTTTTTGACAAAAATTATAAAATTTGAAACCCGGTTTTTTATGCAGATGACAAATATACTAGATAGAAGCTAGCGTTTTCAAACATGGACTCATATCGGTTCGATAAAATTTGGAATTATATAGGTCTGTTATACTTCCCAGAAAGATTCTGTGTTATCTTTTATCTAATGTATATATTAATTTAGATTATTATATCAATGTTTGTTGAAGGAGCGAATTGCTCTCTTCAAACTTTGAAAAAGGAGTTTTTAGCCCTACAAGCCACAAATAAATTTTCAGAATTATCATATCACCCTTTAAAAACGATTAAGCCTAGTTCGGTTGCAAGTGAGAGAGAATTTTCTATTTAGGAAAATTTTGTGAGTAAACAAAGGACACTGCTAAATAAAAATCGATAGACGTCCTCAGCTTTTAGCAATCATATTTCATTAAACCAAAAAATAATTAAATATTTGAAATTAATTAATTAAAATTATTCTGAATAGAATGAACTCGGGGTTTTGTTTAATTGTTTTTAGGACTAAAATTGACAGTAACAAGTATGTTTCTATGTATGTATCTAATTTTTTATGTTTTAATTAAAAGTAAAAAGTTTTTGATTTAAAAATATATTATTTTTATTTATTCAAACTTTTTTTTCTTTCACTTTCATGAAAATATTTATATTCTCGTATGTGAAAATAATGCATGAATGGTCATTTTCAAAGTTATTTAATCGAGATCAACTATTGTTTTTTTGTTCTACTAATTGAAATTGAAATACATTTTTTTACTATTCATAAAATTGAACAATAAAAAAATTCAGTCAAAAACTGCTTTAAATCACACTAAATTTGCCAAAATTTTGTTATTACAGAATATTCGAGCAAAAATTGATTTTTTAATATTTTTTAAAATTTTATTTGCCTCGCTTACATGGAGCATTTAGCCACCTACAGCATTTCATTTTTATATTCTATATTTTTTAAATAAAAATTAATATACTATATGATAAGATAACCATACGTTCCGGTTTAGCCCAGATTTGCCTTTTTTATCCCAGATTGTTTCGGAATTTCGCAAAATATAAGTTTGAATTAAATCTTTGCAATTATAAATTTGGTAGGAAATATCTCTCAACTCATTTCAAATAATTGTATTGTTCTTCAGTGACAAAATTTCAATATATATTCGATAGACTAGAATATAAATATTTTAAATCAACATTTTATAAGCACAAAATACCATTAACTTTTGGACTACAATTCATTACAATGCATCATAGTAATGCAAAATCAGGTTTTCCACAATAATTTAGAAAAACAGTTTACAATTTTTGTTTCTGAAATCTACCAGTTACAATTTCAAATCTTTGTCTATTAGTTTATAAATAAATGGAACATTGTAGTCATATGGATAGAACGAAAGGGAAAAACAATCGGATTTTTCTTTAATTTATAGTTTTAATTATAAATTTGTTATGAAACAAGAGATTTGGTTTTCCTTTTTCGATAAACTTTCGATAAAAAATATACATCCACAAATTCCGCCATTAAAATATTTTATTATTCCGTTATTATAAACATTGATTTCTCATTTGAATAATCTCTTGTAATAAATATGGAAAAATGTTTTCAACAATGCAGAAGGCATCAGTCTTCCAATAAAATATCATTTTATTATATTTTAGTATAGAGATGACTTTAATTTAATTTATTGATATTATTTATATATCGGGTTCAATTGTTCATTTGTTAAATATAAACAAGTTGTTATTAAATCGAGTCATAACATAATCAGTAAGCAATTAAATAAATGGTATATTGCCATGAGAATAATAACATTTTGCTTGTGTAAACAAGAATATGGATAATAGAAAATGTTCCTATGATAAAATGTTATTGCATCGATCATTAAGGCGTGTTTTCATGAACTGGCCAAAGTTCATATTATTTGAAATGAAAATGTAAGAGAAGAGCTGATTTAAATAATTATTGAACTTGTGGTGCATGGCATCGTGCCTTAAGGCAAATTGCTGGGATTTCCCGTACTGAAAACTAAATTATTGAAAAAAAAACTTTGCAAAACTTTGAAATAATTAGATTTTTGAGAAATTTTTGAAAAAAATGACTTTTTTGAAAAATTTAATTTTTTTATATTTAGTTTTTTTTTTTGAAAATTTTAAACATTTTTTTTTATGAATCGCGCCGATTTGAAGTCGAAATATCAAAGCGCGTAAGCGCCGCGTAGTCGTTTAACGTGTAAACATTGGTACGGAACCCATATAAATGTACAAAAAAATTGTACTTATCATTATAATATTTATAAAATGTCTGATAATACAATGTACCGCCATATGGCATTATTTTCTACTTTTTTTATTGGATCTCCGTAAACACTGGACCTGCCTTTACAAAAATTTTACCAGTAGTTCATTTTGTCAATACAAGTAAAATGTTTTTTGAATTATTTAAATCGAACGCTCCTTCATCTCAAAAACTGAAATACCATTTTTGGCACTTTTTGCACCGTATCTCCGAAACGGATAGATCTGCCTTTGCCAAAAACTAATCAGCGTTTCTTATCAGTAAGACTCGAATGTTTTTTGAATTATTCAAATCGGTTGATCCGTGTTCGCGAAATCGTCGACAAAATTTCTATCCGCACACACACATACGTTCATTTTTTCTAAAGTATACCAAAACGTTCAGAAACCTCTGAAATGTAAAGATATATAAAAAATTTCATTTTCGATTTTTTTGCGATTACTATAACTTACCCTACGGGAAATTAAAAAATTATATCTATAACATACATTTTTATGGCAAAACCAAAAAGGCAAGTATTTTGTTAAATGAAATCTACTTTTTACAAATGGTAATGGTATTGGGCTCCTTCAGGCTCATTATACTTCATTTATTTTTGTTTATTTATTTATTTGTTTATTTATTCATAAGCAAGCCGTAATCAATAATGATAAATTATTTCAGGCTCTTGCCAATTTTTATCAAAAGAACTTACAGATTTGTAAGTATATATTATCTTGGTCGAATAACATTAATTCAATTTGTATTAATATTTGTTTTAATAGTTTTATTATTTTAGTTATTATTGCGCATTCAAAAAATTGGTATAAGGAACAGGGAAAGAACTCCTGCAAAATCATATTCTATTTTGTAGTTATTCCCGGTAATCAGAAAAATATATGTAAATAATTTATTAATTTTAAATCAAAATTTTGAGAAAAAAATATTTCAATCTGAATTCACGTGGTTTCATGACCTAAAAATATACCATTTTTGGTTTAAAATGTTAGTATTTTTAATACGTTACTTGCCACGATAATATTAGATTTTTTTTACATTGGCTATGGTAATTTTATTAGATAATATAGTTAAAATTGTCAAAAAAAACTATTAATATATTATATTAATATAATAACTAATCATTATATTTATTGTCCCTAACTTAATTTTTGTCGATTCGATCAAAAATAACATTTGAAAATATATCTTTGGTGAGAATGGCTCAGTCAGTAGCGTGCCTGACTCACACACCAGAGTTACTCGGTTCGAGTCCTGGCATTGACATAGAATTGACATTTGATTTGTTATAGAGAGTTTGAGGAGAATTTGAATTGTTGGTTTGAGGTGGAGTAGAAGTAGAAGTTAAGAAGAAGAAGCAAGGTAAGAAGAAAAAGAAGAAAAAGAAAGATCATGAGAAAAAGAAGAAGAGGAAAAATCAGAAGAAAATAGGCAATATGCAGTAGTATATGATATGATAAAAAGATAGATATATAATATACTAAAGATAGTATAAAATGTGAAAATTTGTCGTTAAGAAGAAGAAGCGAGGTTAAAAGAAAAAGAAGAAGAAGAAAGATCAGAAGAAAAAAAAATGAAGAAGTCAGTTATAAAGAAAATTGAAAAGTATAGGATATATAAAGTAGTATATGATATGTTAAAAAGATAATATATGATATATAAAGATAATATAAAATGTAAAAATTTGTAAGTATGGCTAAAGCTCTAAGTAAGCGAGGCTTATAAAAAAATAATCAAAAAAATATATATTGCTTTCAATTATTAATATTCATACAAATATTTTATTAGTATCATTTATTATATTAGTGATAGTGATTGAATTCTTTTTGTAGAATTAATAATATAGTCTAATAGATTGTGCAATGTCTTGTGTTTATAAATTGTTGATGCAAACATAGTTAATAACATCGCATAGTAACTGTTATCTAGAATTTAATACATTTATAGAGGGAAAGTTATTATAAATGACAAGGCACAAACATAAGCAAAATAAACATTCGTATCTGGTAAATCATGAATGAAAATAATTTAAATGGTTGTTATCGGTTAAACTGATCATTAAATATTGATAGACATTACTTGGAATTTCTTAGAGCATCCTGTTCAACTTTGCCATCTTTGCAAAAACTATATAAACATATATACAAATAACACATTGTATTTACATATGCACACACACATATTCTTGAACTTGATTCCTAGATATTATATTTTTCAAGATCTATAGAAACTAACAACACTATAGACACATAAAATATAATTTAATAAAATATAACACGCCTATTTTTCTGAATTATACTTTATCAGTAAATCGCTTCTCACGAGCCTCTAATATTTCACGGGGTTCATTTTGACCCTCAACTTGTAGACAATTTGTATTGCGTGTAATTTTATCTTATACGATTTTCATAGTTTTTTTTCAAAAACCGGTTTTAACCGGTTTCGATTTTTTATAAAAAAAATTTAGTCGAATAATTCTAATAAGAAATTTTAACGCAGGTTTAGACTGAAGTTATCTTATTGATCGTATTTTTTATGCAATGTAGTAGAACAAAAAATAATAATTAACCAGGTTTATGGAACAATTAATTATTACTTGTTTATATCTAATTTTTACATCTAAGGGTGTGAGTATTTTATAATAGCGAAACGAAGAACAACTATCGATTTGCAAAAGTGTTTTTTCCAATCTGGTACTTTTGGCTGCATTTGTTATTTTCATTTTTTATGGTATTATTCATACATTGAAAATCGATATTTTCTGCTAAAAACCGTTTTTTCCAATTCCATAATTTTCCTCCGAAAACCGCTTTTTAAAAACCAACGAACCCCAGTTTATGATTTTATATTATAGATATAGATTTATATTTGAATTTGACTACATAAAACCTACTTGAACAAAATTTTAGTAAATATTACAAAAAACCGTTCTGAAAGATCTAAATCATTCAACTCGTGATTAATAAAATATTTTTGTATCTATGTAAACAGAATCCTGAACTGAAATATGTTTTTTATGAGTTGTTTGTCAAAATATTTGTTATGTTCATTAAAAAAATGAATTTTATTTCTAAGATATGTGTTGGCCAATTCTCATACTTTTAAATTGAACAAAAATAGGCTAGTCCAATAGAGTCAAAATATAATTTCGCCAGTTAATTAAGTTATAATTATTATATAAAGCTATAATCATATTAACAATTATTATTTATATAAAGCTATAATCATATGATATGATTGGTCAAATAATAATTAAAATACTAGGTAAGGCTATTTTGGTTTGACTGGTACAATAGAGACAATTATCAAATTGTGCTTTAAGGCGAATTGCTAAAATTTCTCATATTTAAAACAAATATAAGTTCAAATGCTTTGAAAAAAATCTAAGTTTTTTTTTCAAACTTTTGAATTTCTGACTTTTAAGTTTTTGGCAACATATTGCAATTAATTTAATCATTTATTTTAGTAATAATATCATAGAGTTGAACATTTTGTATATATCGCATAAAATAATATGGCTTTACATAATTAACAGCTTTTTTGTTATTTTTAATTTTATATGAGAGCAAAATTTCATACAAATTCAATTGGAACCCAATATCGATATTTCAAGTCTCAAACTAAGTCTACTAAAAAATTAAAATTAACATTTATTGGCGCAGAACCCAAAATTTAGTGAATATATGCTAAGCATTGAAAGCTCTATAAAAAGTTTGGTCTTCAAATTGCCATTTTAAGCTCCGAAAAGATTGGACCGCCTTCATCAAAGAGCAAATATGGGTTTTACGCATTAAAATTGAATAATTTTTTAACTAATTAAATTGGTTCAGCTGTTTTGTCCAAAACACTTCCATACATACACACATTCATGCGTTATTTTTTCTAAGGTATGACAAAATGATCTGGAAAAGTAAAAATCTCCAAAGGTTATCGTCTTCATTTTTTTATGCAAAAACAGGAAACGTATTAGTAAAATGAAGTTTGTCTAAATTCATATCGCGCTTTTTCATTCAATCGGTATGTAAAATCATATTACTTTTGTTACTTTTACTTTTTGGTTTTCATTCTGGTTAGATTTTTTTTTAATATCTACGCCTATTTTATTATGGAGCATAAGAAACTTTTTGGTAGTACTTATTGTTAGAATGTCTAAATCGAATGCCAATCCAGAGATTGGACGTCCAGGTATAATAATATGGTTAGGATGTGGTACATAAATAAAGTACTATAAATCTTTTATCGTGTATTTAAAATAAATAATACAAAAACTAAATATTAATGTTATTAAACATATTTCACAAGTAACATATTGAATCGTCATTTAAAGATCTATTTTGATTTTGACGCTTTAATTCTCGTAAGCTATTTAAATTTCGTAAGATTCAGATGGCGTGATTTGGTGTAATTTTAATTCTAATTAACTAAAAGTACTTTTTATAAAATTTTGAATGAAATTTCGCGTCCTCTGCCAACGGCCGGTGCCGCCGGGTTGAGCGGCGGTTGGATAAAATTGCTTGATTGCCGTGTGACAATTTGTTATGATACTGCGGTGTGTCAGTCATTGTTAGTTTATTCAATTACCTCTATGCTATTTGTTTCAGAGATTTCAATCACAAACTTACATACATATAAATATGTATGCATGTATACATTATGATCAATTTGGAATTTTGGAGTCGGTCAATTTCTTAATAAGCCAAAATATCAAACGTAAACACCAAGAAAATTAAAAATTATCACGCTTTATTTTATTGTAAAATTATTTAGTATTGCAAAGTTATTTTGCTAATATATAATTTTCTTTTAGTTCTTGAACAAAAAAAAAATCTAATACTTCTATATTCGCGTTCTTATCTTTGCTGCACTGTCCTTAGTTAATTTCCCGAAAAGCATTGATATTGAAAGGGCAAGTTCACGGTCAACGAATTGTAAAAAAAATTTCAGTATGTAATCACCAATATTAGAAGGCACCAATAAATATGTTGTTGTAAGAAATAGATTAACATTTTTATCCGAAATTTGGAATATCACTACTTTTGCAGTAACACTTTATTGCAACAATTACAGGTTTATTAGATTGCACTTTATAAGGCATAATATTTTAACACTTTTTAGGAATAAGCACTACACATTTTATACTCAAACACTCAATCAATTTATATGGAAGATGCTTATATATAACACCCTTAATCTAATTATTTTAAAATTTAAAAAAGCATTTCAATTTCCATGTATTTTTTCAAAACAAATGCTTTTAAAAGCATGCAGTGCAAAATCGAACAATTTAAGGAAAATCCAGCTTAACGACACCAGGAAAATTTTTTGGAACGCCATGAAAAATTAATCCGCGTTTTGACACTGCATGTGTAATAATTGTTATTTACGATGATATTCTAATAAACAAAATCAAAATTTGGCTTACCTGCTTGTGTGCTTTGGAATCCCGCCTGGATGAGCAGGAAACAAAAAAGGAACAATTGTGGTGGCCGCGTATTAGCCATCGTTCTGTTCATTCGCGGCGGCAAATCAGGGAGAACTGATTACTCAAACGTCCATCAGCGCCTTATATAGAGTTCGCTGATACAGATTAAATGTTGCTCGGAATATTTACAGAAGCACTAACCCTCAGAATCTCACATGCCTTTTCTTGTTTTATCACTGATCATACAAAACTGTTGTTTCCGATGATAGTAGTCGTACATGTCTTCTGCATTTTTGAACTTCTTTGTATGCGTGGGCCTGATCAATTGTCAATACGACGATGATGCCACTGTACCAAACACCATCGTCCAAATCTAATTGTAATATTATTATTTTTAAATCGAAGGTAAACTCATTTATTAAATTTTCGGTGTTAACAACTATTCACAAAAAAATGTTAATATAAATATTTATACATTTCAAGTAATGATTAGTTGTCGTCATTACCTAAATAAATTAGTGGTGCATGGCATATTGTCCTGAGGCAAATTTCTGGAACTTCCCGTACTGTAATTAGATTTATTTGAAAATTTTGAAATAGATTTTTTTAAAGTATGAAAGAGTAATTTTTTTATTTATTCCGCAATATATTCATTTCCATATTTCAGTCAGGCAGGTATGCCTGGTATAAGAGATTATAGATAGATATTTTTATTTCGGTACGTAATTTGTTGAAAAAGCTGCTTGCACTTCTAAGGGGGCCAGTACGTCCTTTATTTGTGTTTTTGTTATTTTTTTTATTTTTAATTTTGAAATTTTTGAAAAATTTTGACTTGGCCGACTTTATTTGTTTAAACAATATAAGTGAAATTTAAATATCATAAATTTTGGTACTAAACTCACAAAATAGAAAAAAATTTACTTATTAATAAAATCTATAAAATATCTAATAATTTCATGTACATACGTCTAATGAGCGATTTTTGTCCGCCAAATGGCTTTCTTATATTTTATTTTTTTCTGGTTATCGAAAACCTCTGGACTAGCCTTTCTAAAAATTTAATTATTTCCTCATTCCGCCAAGAAAAATATTTTTTCAATCATTCAAATCGGACGATCTGTTTTCTCGAAAACTGATTTGCCATTTTTTGCACTTTTTGCCCGTATCATCGAAACTAACCTGCACGTCTTCCCATCAACAAAAATTTGTATTAATATCTATCAATTTTTTCTAAGGTATGTCAAAATATTCAGAAACTTTTAACATGTTAAGATGAAAAAAATATGTTTGTTTTTTTGTTATTTTGATTATTATAACTAACCCTACTGGAAGTGAAGCTGAAAGTAATTTTTAAGTTAACTTCAATATATCGGTTTGAAAATAAATACTGGTTAGGTTGATTCCTAATAAGAAGTCAACGCCATTATGTTTTTGCTAAAGATAACTAAACATAGCTAAAATAACTCACCAATACAAGTAAAATGTACAAGTATACAAGTAAAAGTAAATTACCATTTTAGGATCTTTTTGCCCCGTATTTTCAAAACGGCTGGACCTGCCTCGAAAAAAAATTATTCAGCACGTCTTCCCATCAATAAGAATCGAATGTTTTTTGAATGATTCAAATCGGTTGATTCGTGATCTCGAAATCGTCGACGAAAAATAGTATCGATACATACATACACACACACATACATCATTTTTTTTCTAAGGTATGCCAAATTGTTCAGTAACGTTTAAAACGTAAAGATATAAAAAAAAATTATTTTGGATTCTTTTGCGATTACTATAATTTACCATAAAAATGGTCTTTAGACATATAAACAACAAATTATCAGATATTTTATAGAGATTTTAATAATAAGTACAAATTTTGTTTACATTTTGGGTGCTGTATCAATTTTCATAATGTTTAACGGTTTGGCTACGACGCGGCGCTTACGCGCTTCGATATTTCGTTGCTAAAACAGATATACAAAGCGCGATCGCTTTGAAAAAAATTCATAATATTCTAAAAAAATCAAAATTTTTGAAATATCTCAAAATTGTCAAAAAAATAAAGCATTTAAAAATGTGAAATTACCGTACGAAAAATTCCGATTTATTATGTGTAATACTATTTTTTTTAAATATTGATACTTTTACTGATCTTTACGTATTCTTATGAAAGATCTTGCAGAATAAATACTGTGAATATTTCATTTTTAATAACATGAGTATGTCGAGGTATAATGGTTAAGAACGTTACCGATTCGATCTGGACCTCAGTGATTTCGATATCAAGCAGTATGATAACAAAGTTACATTTAAGGTTATAGATTTCAAATATTATTTTAAGCAAGAATCGCCTTTCATGGGCATTGCTGCAACATATATCAGCCGATGGTACTAGATATACGTATCTAGTCTACACATAAAAAGAAGCAAGATTGACCGCTGGGTTGCCCTCTCGAGAAAAATGCTAAGTTCTGATCGCTGTTGAAAAAATTATAATATGCTTCCTATATTGAAAACGTATATAATTCGAAGTGAAAAGCAACTGATTTTAAAGCAAGTTCAATATTGTTTCTTAAGTTTAAAGAATAGGTTTTCTTGAAAGATGCAAATATTTGAAATTAATACAATATTTCAATCGGGGAATCCGGTAGATGTTAAGCAATTGATATAATCGTGGTTACAGAATCTTACATAATATACTTAATTATAGATATGTTACATTTAATAGTCTAAACATGTTAAAAAATCCGATGATAACGTACGCACGCTGCGATAGTGTTAATATTTAATGATAACAGCAATTTATTTCAAGTTTACGCGTGCTCTCTATATATTATTTATTATTATTTTTTGAAATGACAGTGTTTGTTTATACGTTCATTGTATAATGGAAAGTTTCGGTAGATTTAGTATTCTATATTGAATTTCGAAGTGTTTTTTTTTAATTAAAACAAACATTTTAATACTAATTCAAAGGCGATTGCATGCAAGTTTATTACACCAAATTAGCTAATCCGCTTCTCAAAATTCAAAATGTGGTTAAAATTATCAACTAAGTGATGTGTGAAATTAATAAATAAATTAACTGTTTCTTAAGTGTTGATGGTAGTGTTAATAATAGAAATTAAAAAACTCTAATTCTAAAATTAATGTAGAATGGAAGTAGATTTGGCACACAGACACTAACGACAAAGCTCTTTTCAAACTATTAACCATGAAACTCTAAAAGCATCGGTTAAACTCTAAAATCATAAATCATATGATCCACTAAATGATTTACAGACAAACAAAGCTTCTTTTGGAATTATTAAGCATGAAACTATAAAAGCTTAAGATCGAACTTTGAACAAAATATATATTTTATACAATAGTTTATACTCTGTTGGTAAAAATAAGTAAACAAATTTACATATGAATTATTTATTGAAGCAAAAAATTGAAACTCACAAAGCGACTGACAAACAAACAACAAAGCTTCTGTTAGACTTAAAGTACGAAATTCTGAAAGCTTCAGTTCAAACTTTGAATAAATCATATCTTATACATAAAATTCTTCTGTACGGATGTATAAATTGATACTCCTCTTAAACGGTTATTCGGATTTTGATAATTTTTTTTAGAGTTTATCAAAGAAAATTTTTAAGATTTAATGAACAATGTAACTATAGTAATATTGTAGAAATTATAAAAATATATAGCAAAAATTACAAAAACACACTTATCTTGTTTGACATTGAAAACATTTAAGCCATCATCTGCTTAAAATGTCAGTTCATTGAAATTTGAATTTAGCTGAAATTATGAGCCTAGATAATATTAGAATATAATATACAAGAAAAATGTAATGTCTACATTATTATTACCGAAAAGCAGCTGAGATGTGCCAGTAATTAAAATAATGTAAAAAACAGTCAGCAGTATATGTTCGATAGATGAAATTATACTATTCACTTTAATAAATAACACAATAAGTCCAAAATTGCATATAAATCATTTTTTTAAACTTATGCAAGTTGTATTTTGCTTTACTTTACTAAATTATTTCAATACAAATGAATATTTCTTCTTATTAAAAAAATGATTCAGAATTCATGGGTCAAAAATTCATTTGTTTGGCATTGGATATGAAATATTTAGTAATTGTAATTGCCAAAAAGCAATTAATATATGGTACGCGATTATACAAATTATATACTAAACTATTGAAGGAATTATATTGGGTGGAAGTTTCAAAGATGATATTGTTCTTTTACCGCAGATACTATATTTATTCTTTCTGAATTTCTTATACTGATGAAAAACTGCAATGTTTAATACGTATAGCTTATGCTAAGACCATAAATGGGAAAATATTAAATAGGATATTAAAAAGTATAGAATAGAATATTTAAAAAATTGGAACTTAAATAGTAGACGTGGGTACAGGACAACGTCATTTACTATATTTATATAATATTTATGTTTATATTCTGTTTCCAACAATAAGTAATTGAATTTTGCATATGAATTATTTGTTGAAGCAAAATAATTCACAAAGCGACTGAAAGACGAGCAACATGGCTTCTTTTCAAATTTTTAACCATGAAACTCTAAAAGCATCGGTTCAAACTTTGAATAAATTATATATTTATTTAATATTTATGTTTATATTCTGTTTCTAACAGTAAGTGATCGAATTTACAGATGAATTATTTATTGAAACAAAATCATCCACAAAGCGACTGTACAAACAACAATTGATGATACTTTGATCATGATAATACAACGAACTTCGAAATGGTGAGAATTTAAGTGAAGTGTAGATTACAATATATATAAGAATCAATTCTAATGATATCGTTTGAGGAGTTCCTTTATTTTATTATTTGCATAACAATGATATCGTCAACTAAGAGCAAATTTATCTTCAGAATGAACTTCAATGTTTACATTTTATTTGCTTCTATGAAGTCATCATATAAAATGATAATATTAATAAAAATTATTTAAATATTGATTTAAAATATCAAACTAGTGGTACATGGCATCGTGCCCTAAGGCAAATTGTTGGAACTTTCCGTACCGAGCATTAAATTTTTTTAAAATGTTAAAAATTGTTTTTGAACTTTCAAAATATTAGATTTTTGAGAATTTTGTACATGTGTGTATGCGGATACAAATTTTTGTCTACGATTTTGGGAACACGGATCAATCGATTTGTGTAGGCAAATTAGATTTTGGGAAATGCACGACCAGCCGTTTCGAAGATATGGGGCAAAAAGTTCCAAAAATGATAATTCAGTTTTTGAGAAAATGGAGAGTGCGATTTGATTGATTGAAGCATTTGATTTCTATTGACGAAATGAATAACTGATTACATTTTTGAAAGGCAAGTTTAGTGGTTTTGGAGATCCAATTAAAAAAGGAACTAGTGGTGTATGGCATCGTGCCTTAAGGCGATTTGCCGGAACTTCCCGAACCGTAACGAAATGACCGAGAAATATTAAATGTTTTCAAATAGATTATTATAAATACTGTAACATTTTTAATATTTATAAGAATTATATAAATTGAATTACAAAGTTAAAATTAATTGTTTAAAGTATATAAGTGAGTTTTAGATCTTTATCCAGAATTAAAATTAAAATCTGAATTATTCTCGATATACAAAAAAATTTTTCTTGTATAAAAACCAAAAACAATTGTTTAGTCAACACAAGCGGTTTGTTTTTTAGATCATTCAAATCGAATACTCCGTTCTCTCAAAAACTCGGTTTCTATTTTCTGCACTTTTTGCTCTGTATCTCAGTAACGGCTGGACCTGCCTTTGTCAAAAACTAATCTACACATCTCCCTATCAAATAGGAAACGATTAGTTTTTGAATTTTTGAAATCGGTTCATCCATACGCCCGAAATTGTCTTCAAACATACACACACACACGACCAATTTTTTCTGAGGTATGCCAAAATGTTCAGAAACCTCTAAAACATAAAGATAGCAAAAATTTTCATTTTCGATTTTTGGCCCATTACTATAGCTTACCCTACGGGAAGTTAATTACTGATTATTTGAGTATTTAGGCAGCGTTTGAGGACTTTGCATCTAAAAGCGCTTATACATGAATAAACTAAAATTAAACTTGTTTAATTAAAAATAGCACTGCTGAAGTGATAGAATATCTTGTTTGCAATTTCAAATGTACGCTTCACGCAATCTCGTTAACTTTTTTTTTCGATAAGTAGCTATATTATGTATGCCGGAGAGCCGAGATCCATCCACAAGTCATAAACAAGGGTCACAATTGCTTTTATCAATTGACGACAATGCCCGACTTGATAATTCGATCTTAAAATAATACATTTATACAGATAATTGACATGCTAATAAACATAATGCTTCCTGTGAATGAACAAAAATTAAGATTCTATGCGTCGTAAAAATGTTTACGTGGAATGTCATCGATTTAGATATCTTTGATTTTGTTCTTTTACTAATTATAAGTCATGTGGAACACATCTTGAATACTTCTACATGAATTCTATCTTGCGCATATGGTCAGAAATGATATCTTGAGCTGAATTAAGCCTTTCTGCGATTTCCTATATTGTCAGAAGAGCTTCTTGCTTCAACATTACCTTAAGGAGTTACACCACTGTAGCAGCCAAAAAAGCGTATATTTTGCCATTTTTTTCGAGAGGAACTTGTATATTTTTGCCATTTTTTTTTCAATCACAATAATTGTTAAATCACTTACTACTTATTTAGATGTTCTCAAACTATTGAAGTTCTCAAGTAATTTTTAATTTTGAGCAACCCCAGGTGCAATAAATACTGTTAGAACAGTTAGTAAACGTATTAAACTTGTGGCGACATTTGGAAAAGAAGTCTTCAAATTGTATTTGTATGTGTGTTTTTAATGTTAATTTTCAAAGACGAATTCGAATAAATAAATTTGTATAGAAACCCGAAGCAATCTTAAACTAGTGGTGTATGGCAAATTGCCGAAGCTTAAGCAACGGGAATTGCCGTACCATTTTTTTTTTTTTTTTTAAAAAAAAAGATTAAATTTGTTTTAAACTTTGATAAAATAAGATTTTTGAGAAATTTTAAATTTTTGAAACGAAAATGACTTTTTTGGAAACTTTGGAAAATGTTTTTTTTTTTAGTTTCAAATATTTTGGAAATTTTGAACTTTTTTTCAAAGCAATCGCACTGGTTTAGCTGCATAGAGACGCAATATCGAATCGCGTAAGCGCCGCGTCGCCGTCTAACGGGCAAACGATTTACGAAACCCATTGAAATGTAAACAAAATTGATACACTTAAAATCTCCACAAAATATTTGAAAATTTGATGTGCGTATGTCTAATGATTATTATTGACCTCAAAATGGTGTTTCTTTTACTTTTTTTACTAGATCTCCGAAACCGATAGACCTGCCTTCCCAAAAATTTAATCAGTTCTTCATCTAGTGAATACAAGTAAAATGTTTTTTGAATTGTTAAAATTGGACGCTCCGTTCTCTTAAAATCTGAGTTCGTTTTTGGCACTTTTAGCCCCGTATTTTCGAAACGGCTAGACCTGCCTGTGCCAAAAATTAATCAACACGTCTCCTTATTATAACAGGCGAATCGATTGTTCTTTGAATAATTGAAATCGGTTGAACCGTGTTCCCGAAATCGTCGACAAACATTTGAATCCGCACACACACACAGACACACTCACACATACATCTATTTTTTCTAAGGTATGCCAAAATGTTCAGAAAACTTTGAAACGTAAAGATGTATAAAAATTTTCATTTCAGATTTTTTGCGATTACTATAACTTAGCCTGCGGAAAGTTAAAAAATAATGCGATTTGACGGTCAAAAACTTATAATATATTAAATAATTAATCAAATTATGTTCAAATTGTGTGTGTCGTAACCCTTAGCGAAACGCCATTTGTACAATGTGTGCCTAATGTGTGTGAATATCCTCTAAGTCGCGAAATACGACGAAACTTTGACAGATGGAAAATGTGGACTGTGATTATTTCAAAACAAATGAAGAGTTGTATATATTGACATTGTATTTGCATTTTCAAATACATGATGCCAAAGTCCTATTAATCTAATTGAATTCAAATATGTATTTATACATTTAAATATTTTGTGTAACATGGAATCGTGTCCTTTATGTGGCTGCACTCTGAATAATACAAATAATAGGTTAATTGAAGAACAATGCGGCCACAAAAAATGTAGAAATTGCTTTATACAAGAATTTGCAGGCTGCAAATTATGTGAGCAGAAAAGTAACATACTTCTAAAAAATGCAAACAATTCGTCACCTTGCACAAAAAACAAAATTTTCGATAAGAGTCCATCTAAAAATAATAAGAAATATAATGGCCAATTAAAATTGAAGACTGAATGGACTATTCTTAGCAAGACAACTGCGAATGATGTGATGAAAAACATACATGATGATTTATCTGTTCGTAATATTAATTCTAATTTGGAAGAAAAAGATACATCGAAATTATGTAAGCCAAGCGATACAAGTAAAATAATAGTATCAAATTTGAAAATTAATAAATCAAAGAGTAATAAAAAGTGTAATAAATTTTCTTTGCCTTCACATATAACTATATTGGAAACAACACCAAATACTATTTATGAATGTACTATATGTAAAAGTAAATTCAAGTTTAAATATCATTGTAAATACCATGAAGCATGCGAAACAGGTGCAAAGCAATTCAAATGTGATACATGTTCAAAAGTAATTACTTTTTGTATTATGAATGCTATATATGTTAATCAATTTGCATTATAAAATACAATTCACTTTTTTTCAGGAATTCAAAACTTTGCCTCATTTGAATTACCATATGAAGAGTCATACAGAGGCATCACGTACTAAATGTGATATTTGTGGAAAACAGTTCTCACATATTGGTTCGCTAAATCGTCATTTAAAAGCACACACAAGCAAGTATAATTTAAAAAAATTTATAAGATGATTTGCAAACATTTTGCAAAATTAAATTTAAGAATTTGATTGACATATGTTTATTTGTGATATTTTGTCCAAATAGTATTTATCCAATATTTTGTAAACTTTGGCCAATTTGATCAACATATTATAAATATTTTATTATAAGTCACGTTGAAAAATATATATATTTTAGGTATAAATGCTTATCAATGTGAATTGTGCACTTCATCTTTTAAAACAAAAGAATCACTGACGGCACACAATACAAGGCATAAAAATGAAACATTATTTTCTTGTCAAAAATGTGAAAAAAGATTTAATGATAAATCTAATTTACGTAAGCATATGATGACACATAATTTAGAACTTAAAAATTACTTATGCGAGTTGTGTGGAAAATCCTTCAAAATTCGGTGGTCTCTTATTGCCCATAAATTAGCACACACTAAAAGCAAATTTCATAAATGTTCAAAATGTAAAAGTGTTTTTAGTAGTTATCCCAGTCTGAGACGTCATTATTTAAGTCACTCCGGTAAGTATCAAAATTGATAAATTTCATTTATTTATTTATATAATTAGTTATTGTTTTTTACTCGCATCTGAATTTTAGGCAAACATTATTTATGTAATTATTGTGATATAAAGTGTCAAAGGAAAGATAATTTAATAAGACATATTAGAAATACTCATCCCGGCAAGGATACAGCTTACATTAATAATAAATTGCATAAATGTGTTAAAAGAAGTTTATCTTATGACAAACCCATAAAAAAACAAATAGTTTTTGAAATGAATAAAGATAAAAATAAAAATAGTGATAAAGAAGATTTAGTACCAAATATAAATACTTCAAATAATATTCTGCTAGAATCTAATACAATACCACATAATTCAAATAAAGACCCAATGGATTACAGCAATGGTTTTTCATTACAAGAAAAGAAATTCAGAATACCTGTAATCAATGGACCCATAAAATTATCTTTCAAAAATATGCAACATTCAGTTAATAATGTTAATTCACTTAATACATCCAAAAACGACAACAGTAAGGCATGTGAAGATCACCATATAGAAATTTACCGGAAAATACTTCAAGCACCTTCAGCGAGAAAAACATCAGGATCAAGTACTGAAACAAGTGGATCCATTGAACCTACATTTAACAATATTAATAAAACAAATACTTCTAAAAGTTTAAATGGTATTGACTCGCTGAGTGATGAACAAAGAAAAGAATATCAACATATTGAAATTTATCGTAAAATTTTAATGCCATCATACACACAAAAAGACAAAGTAGATTCAAATTGTTACAAATCTAACACTCTTAAAGATCACTTCACAGAAACACAAAGTCCTGAAAAATTTCATGCAAGCATTTTGACTTCTGATAATAAGCCATATACAAATTATATAAGTTCCGACAAAATGGGTGAAATAAATCACAAAGATTATGATAACCATGTCAGCACAATAACTTTAGTTGCTGGAAATAAAATTATGTGTTCCTTAAATGAAGATCTACGAACTGTACCTACAATGATTAATCTTTAATTGAATATTAACCTTTAATTATAGATATAAATATTGTTATTAAAAATCTGTAAAACTTTCAAAAACAAACATTAAATTTATAATCTATATTTTACAGGATAAACCAAACAATTTTGTAATGATCAATACACATTCAAATACAATAACATCTAAAGACATTTTTTATATCAATTATGTATAATGCCTATTGCTAGTGTTATTATATAAACTAAGTAATCTAACATTGCTAATCTATGCATGTCTATTAAATTTATGTTTTGTGCAACTATTGTGTCTTAATTGCAGGTTTATTTGGACTTTAATTAAACTAGTGTAAAAGCAAATGGCTTGAAGTGCAAAACTTTTAAACACAGTAATAGGAAAAAATCGTTACAATTAATTATTGCATTCAGAAACTTAATATTCATTTTAAAGACCTGCTTTCATGTAAGGTATTGTCATACAATAATATAAAAAATATAAGTTCTTTATCAAACCCAAATTGTAATAAAAGCATTATTTACATCACATTAAGTAAGTCAATACATATGTTTCATAGTAAAGCTATCACAATAAAAATGCGCATATGAAAATTTTCATTTTCATTTTGGTTAAAAATTGAGTTCTACATTTTAGAACTAAACATAACGACAGCTTCAAATTCAAATATATTCTAATGCTCCAGTATAGTTACTAAAATACAAATATTTTGTTAATAAATAATTTGTTGAAACATAATAAAACAAATTATTCATGTACGGACAACAGTACTGCTTAACAAATAGTACCTATACCAAAAATGCCTATTTGAGGCGCATGTCAATTTGATATATCTTTAAATTAATGAATTTTTTTCTTTTGATCATTTCTTCCTAGGAATGTATACTCAAAATTCAAGAATAAACTATCTGGATCACACGTCAATTAATAATCAATAAAAAAATAATAAACGTTCTTGAGCAGTTCCTGACAAAAGGTTCCATCCTCGTTTTATATTAACATACTGAATAATCGCTCTCATGCAAATTAGTAAACCTGTTAAACAAATTAAATTAGTTAGGTATCAAATTATGAACTTAAAATACAGTTTATTTTTTTAAATACACTTTTATGGAGGATGGATTTTATAAATTCCTTTTATATATATATGTATATATATAAAAGGAATTTATAAAATCAATTTTTTTGATAAAATCTTTCTTAGTGAAAAAGTGTTAGTGTATAATCAATCATACAGGTAATTAATTCTGTTGTTTCAGTAACCTTTTCTTAAAACTTTCTAGAACTTGCTAATTTTTTAACATTTTAAATATTTTGTTATATAATCCACTCATTTATTTTTACCATTTTCATTTTGATTATATTGTCATATTTCTGTACATTATTTTTTCCACAATTTTATTCATTTTATATAAATCAATATACAATATATATATAATACAAAAAAAATACATAATCTTCTGCTTTGCTTAAACATATTGGTTGCTTAAATCTTATCAAGATCACGTTTCTTGATAGATGTCGTGAAGATGAAACGTACCTAGTTCCAAAACGTCGACAGTAAATAAATTAAGAAATGGTGTTTTAAAAAAACTTTTTTGTTTTTTATTACTTTTTGGATTCTTTGTTCGAAGGTCTACAATATATATATATATAATTTTGTATATATGAGTACATAGGAGAAACAATATCTTAAATTAGACTCAAAATTATTGTTATTAACATTAAAAACTTTAATAAATGTTTCAAATAAGATAGCACCCATTAAAAATCTAAACCTAATTCATATATAAAGACTTTCTTTTACTTATTATAATGTACTAAATTACATATTGAGTTGGTGTTATTGCATAAGAAACAATTCATCATGAGAAATGTTCAAATAAATATTAAGAAAATGACACTTACCAAATCCCATTATCAACCACCACAACCACGAATTTTCATGACTAGCTAAGTCTGTGGAATGCTTCACAATCAAAGTCCATTTTGCAAGCGACAAACCAAAACCTGATAGAGCACCATAGCGTGAAGCTATTGTATGGCAAAAACACATCAAGAGCAGAAATCCGATCCAATTGAATAAAAATGCCACTACATTGAAAAAAAATGATCGTTAATGTGGATATATGTATCTTTTGTTAACCATGGGGATAATTTTTTATTGACCTGACATACGAGTGTTTAGAGGTACGAGCCGCTAAAGGAGCGATTTGTTTCTTCGACATACAAGATAAAGGCTTTGAACAAGTAAATTCTGTAGAAAAACGTTAATGGCGAAATGAAATTATAAAAAATTTTATCAGTTGTAACAATAACTGTCCTGCTATAGAACAATTTTGGCTGTTTTATGATAGTAAATTATTTTATAGTTAGTCATTTGAATTATAGTATATTATTCGTTAATTTTATGTTTTCTCGACGTTTCAGGCCATTCTGAATCGAATTGGACCAAATTTGGAAAAAAGTATGTGTGTGTGTTTGTGTGTGAACAGACCTTTTACCGAAAATCGACTTTTTCTCAAACGAACATTCAAAAAGCCATTCGATGTATCTCGATGAGGACTATCGTTTATCAGTCTTGCGCGACGATCTACCGAGCCATTTCTTTGCAATTTGGAAAAAAGTATTAAACTTTTCGTCCACATTTAAGCTCATACTACCGAATCAATTTAAAAAAATTAAGAACTATTTGAAAGATATTAGTTGGGAATGATTAGTTTTAGGTGAAAAACTACCGAGCCGTTTTCCTGTAAATAGTTTGATTTTTATGGATTTTTTTTTGGCGATAAATATCTTGGTCTTATAGAACTTACTGAAATATTACGGTCTTACGATAAGTAGTTTAGTTTTAAAAATTCATCGAAGTTTGAGGTTTTTTGACGTTTATTAAAATTAAAACTAGACGATTTACTTGGTAAAACGATAGAGTTAATAAACATACTAAACAATTAAAGTCATACGGAAACTGGTTCAATTATAAAAATTGATTTTTAAAAATTTGCTTTTAGAAAATACTTCTAAATACAAATTTTATCAGTTGTAACAATGACTGTCCTGCTATAGAACAATTTTGGCTGTTTTATGATAGTAAATTATTTTATAGTTAGTCATTTTAATTATAGTATATTATTCGCTAATTTTATGTTTTCTCGACGTTTCAGGCCATTCTGAATCGAATTGGACCAAATTTGGAAAAAAGTATGTGTGTGTGTTTGTGTGTGAACAGACCTTTTACCGAAAATCGACTTTTTCTCAAACGAACATTCAAAAAGCCATTCGATGTATCTCGATGAGGACTATCGTTTATCAGTCTTGCGCGACGATCTACCGAGCCATTTCTTTGCAATTTGGAAAAAAGTATTAAACTTTTCGTCCACATTTAAGCTCATACTACCGAATCAATTTAAAAAAAATTAAGAACTATTTGAAAGATATTAGTTGGGAATGATACTGATTAGTTTTAGGTGAAAAACTACCGAGCCGTTTTCCTGTAATTAATTTGATTTTTATGGATTTTTTTGGCGATAAATATCTTGGTCTTATAGAACTTACTGAAATATTACGGTCTTACGATAAGTAGTTTAGTTTTAAAAATTCATCAAAGTTTGAGGTTTTTTGACGTTTGTTAAAATTAAAACTAGACGATTTATATGGTAAAACGATAGAGTTAATGAACATACTAAACAATTAAAGTCATACGGAAACTGGTTCAATTATAAAAATTATTGATTTTTTAAAATTTGCTTTCAGAAAATACTCCGAGTTAACGTGTTCGTTCGTTTTCAATTGTGTGTAGTAAATCCACTCGGAATACTTTTAATCACTCATAAATTAGTTTATTCTTTATTGATTAAGTCGATTATTTACACATATCGGGAAGTTCATGTAACTTGCCTCAAGACAAAATACCAATACCAACTAGTTTAGTAGCGATTTACCCACGCGAAATTTTGGCTATACATTAATAGTGATTGTACAGTTAAGTTCGCGTTGTTTGCTTTTTGTTATTTTACAAAAGAGTATTTTCTTTTATAATCATGGCTAGTCCAAAGAAAAGGGCCACGTCTCTTGAAAGTGTGAAATTATTGAAAAATATGAGGTGACGAGGATGTACAAGCATATAGATATGTACTGTGTTTAAACAGAGGAAGTTTATAAAGGGTATAACTCCAGCTAAGAGCAGCTTTCTTAGGTCTAATAGTTTGTGGGTAAAAATCACCCTGAAAAAGTTGCAACAGTTCGAGTTTGGGAACTTATTCTCGCAATATCATGAATGAACAAAAAAAAAATTATTCAAATTAATAATAATAATGGTAAATTTATTTTTAATATTCAAAAATCTTAACAAAAACCACAGTGCTGGAACAAATTAATTGCATTTCAATGTATTTCTATGGAAAAAATTGCTTCGAGATACGACCGGTTCGATATACAAACGTACAAACGTGCGAATTATACTCGTATGTCGATGTACCACGGCATTTTGAATAATGTTCAGTTAAAATTATACATTTAAGACTTGCCTAAAAATGCAGTAAAGAACATAAAATCTGTCCCCAATAGAGAAGCTCGTTCAGAGTCACAATCCCCAATCTCTGGGCCAATTGCCAAAAATGTCAGTGGAGTTGTACTTGTCATCGGCTGCGCCTAAAAATACATTTTTTTTTTGTTTACTCATTGAAAGTATTATGAGTGGAATGAATATTAAGATGTGAATATGAATACACTACATTTAGTATTTTGCACAATGTTAAAGCCTTACAGTAATATATATATATATATATATATATATATATATATATATATATATATATTAACACTTTGTAAAATATTAATATAATATTTAATTAATTAAATATCAACTTATACGGATGAAGTTGAGTATAGTGTCAAGCCTGTTACAAGGCTTATGAGTATATGATATAGTATATATATATATATATATATATATATAGTATATATATATATATATATATATATATATAATGAAAGTTTCGTTTTACAAAAATGTAGAAAAATTAAAGTATTTTGGCACAGAAACATGTAATAGTAATGGTTACCGAGGCCAAGATAATGCTTCTGCGCCAAAATACTTAAATTTTTCTATATTTTTGTGAATTAAAACTTTCATTATTTTTTCTATTTACAAAAAAAGATTCATGATTATTGACTGGTTAGTTGTATCAATGTTAGTGCTAAATTCTGTGCTGTGTACATGTTTTTAGATGTAAAATACCAAGTTCAATATCCACTGATGATGACATTAAATTGTATGTCGAAATGTTTGGAATTAAAGATTATTTTATAAATTTTAGTTTTTTCTTTGTTTGATGCATATATATATATATATATATATATATATATATAATATAATATTTCATTATTTATGTAAAATCTTGAATGTTGATATAATATATATGAGTTGAAAAATCATATGAACTATTTTTAAATTTATTTGGTATAGGCTAACTCACACATAATTCAGCAGATGGTTCCCCATGCAGGCACTTCTCTCTTTGCACATCTTCATATGTGGGTAATTTCATTAAAGAAGGATTTGCTTCATATGGAGGTGGAGCAGAAAAGTCTGCTTTTGGAGGTGGTATATCAGGACTCACAACTGCTAACAAATCTATACTATAATCATTGTTAATTGTCTGATCATCCAGAGGGGGCAACACAACGGTCAATGGTGCACAAACTGACATATCTTCTTCCAAAGGCTTCATAATCTGTAAATATATAGATTATCAAAAAGTAACAAAAATTACTCCAATCAAGACAAGGAACCCAAAACTGAAAATATTTATTATAAGGGATAACATTTTGATTTTCATTTAACAAATTATATTTCCTGGGAGGAAAGTTTGTTGAAAATTCACAGAAATGACAAAAAGATACTTATACACATATATGCAATTTATAACTAGAGGTGAGAGTTAAGTATTATACAATAATCCTGTACTAAAAGACAAATTTTGGTTTTTAAAAAGCACTTGTCCTGAAACCTCGACTATCATAAATCAATAATAAGGTTCTTGTTTGTATTGTCTTGACAGAGTTTTTCTAGAAGAATCAACTGTAAATAATAGTATGTTATATACTTGAATAAATTATTTAATTTTCTTAAATAAGAATTAATTATAAAACTGCCCCTTTTGATCAAGTATAAATAATATCCTTCAATAGCTCAATATCTCGTATTGCAAAAATAAAGCATTTTATATTGAAACTTCTACTTTGCTAGAAGTCCTCGAAAATACAATGTTGACATTATTCTTATTATTTGCTAACTGCAAATATGTTAACATTCTGTTTACAGCTCTTGATTAAGAAGGCGCATTCAAGCATAATAAGCAAATAAATTTTATTCAAATAGATATAATCTAATTATAAAAAGTTAGTTTTGGGCGTTTTCAAAGCATTAAAAAATTTAAATCAGCTGTTATCTATTTATATGAGTTTTACATAAAATACTAAAGAAGTTTAAACAACTAGACTTTACTCATTATTTATTAATAAAACAAAATACTGCAAGCAACTAGTCATGGAAAATAAAATAAGAGTAGTTCTCATTTTGTATATAACAAATGATGTGAAATGAAACAAGTCATTGTTTCATTAACAAATAAATATAATTTATGCTTGAGTAGTACTGATTAATTGTTTGTAATGAGTACAATTTCTATGGATCATTACCTTATAACAGGTTTAATACTATAATAATTTATATATAAATCAAGTAACCTATAATAAACGAAAATTTTCTAATTTAATTGGAAAGTAAAAAATTCAATTTCTTCAATAGTAACTGTGTACAAATATGTATACATTTTGATATTAATGAAAAATCGAAGTTTGAAGTTTTTATACCGATCTTAAAACACTAAATTATCCTTAAATATTTATATTTATGCTGGTTTATATTTATATTTATATTTGGCCCTTAGTTCACCTTAGAATTTGCTCTAGAAAAAACACTTGGAATGAAATGCAATAAATATCCTTCGTTAAATCGCTATCGTTTGTGCGGGTTTTCCTTTATAAAGTAGATGGTTTTATCAAAACAAGTTTCCACATGACTATTATTTCATAAGAACCTTCCACAAAATACACTTCTCACTGAAAAACTGAAAATCGAGTGATCTCACATAGAGTTAGTACGTTCCAAAAGATTATATTCGAGATCTAAAAGTTTTAAAAGATCTATATTATTTTATTATTCAGTTGCATTTTAATTTTGTCACAATAAATATATTATTTTATTAATAAAATTTTGCTTATACATGTCATTTGACTAAAACATGTCAATGTGGTTGGTTTATACCCAACTTGTCTGACGCTGAAACGACTTAATAATTTATAAACTATTGATTTTTACAAAAAATCTTATTTAAGTATTAAACATAAATAGTACATTTCAAATAATTTTGTATGCATGTCTATTTGTGTATATAATATTATAATTAACACGGGAATTTTATTCTGGTCATGTGGAGTATGAATGCACCTGAATTCTACTGTCAAAGTCCATCGCTGTTTTTCGACAATAGAACATATGTAATGTTTGTGACAATTATAACCATTATATTTAAATCGCTGTATTATCAGAGATTATAACCATTGAATTTAAATAACATTTAAGATTTCATGTTATTTCATAACGAGGAATGTCATTACAATGTAATATGATATTTTTCAACTAATGCTAAATCTAAACCATACCTAACATTTGTCATTAAGATGAAAATTTAAAGGTATGTATAATCCAAGAATATAGTAATGCTACAATAAATTTTATCATTTTTCTTAATGTTTTATATTTAAACTATTTCAAATGCATATATAATAAAGCAATGTATAACATTACGCAAGTATAAAATGTTAAGTATACTTCAATTTTATGTTGTATATCTCTAATGTAATATTTCACAAGGCATTTGAAAATATCAGTTGAAGATCTTGATAAAGCCAATATTTTAATTTAATTTTGATTTGCTTTTGCATTACAGAATATTGTCAGTTACTGTAATTTAATTTAAGAATAATGGTAATATTATCTTATTCATATTATAAAGATTAGCTGAAACCATTCTATTTAAACATTTCACTTACAGAAAATATCTTTTCAAAACAATGGCTGATTCTGAAAATGTAAACACAAATATGTGTTCTGAAGAACAGGTATATATCAATTCAGCTGATGGGCTTCCTGATGTGCACCCAAATTTTGATCAAGTCACTATTGATTCTGATGAAGAGTCAAATGACGATGACCTAGTACAGGAACTACCAAAATCAGTAATAGTTACCAATATTCATAGAGATGTTTTTAAAAGCGAAGAGAGGAAATCAAAAATTGAAGGCCTATTTAAAATGTTTTCTGACAATGTTGGATTTCAATGGTTGCCTAGCTTTAGACGTTTACGAGTAAATTATTCTACACCGATTGCTGCAGCTAATGCTCGCATTCACCTTCATCAGTATGTATTAGAGGATTCTGTTATTAACTGCTATTTTGCCCAGCCTGTGACTCCTGTAGGAGCTCCAAGTTTAAAACCACCTGCTCCCGTGAAACAATTTTTAATATCACCACCAGCTAGCCCACCTCTTGGCTGGGAGCCTCGGGCAGAAAATGAGCCATTGATCAATCAAGATTTGTTAGCTGCACTTGCAAATTTAACACCTGGTTCAAGTCATGAGTTGCATGCTCCAACTGATTCTCAGCCAGGCATTGTTGTCCATACAGCGCAACTACCAATTTCCTCAAATGACATCTCTTTAGGCCCTGGGCGTTGCATACCACATACACGGTGTCCAGAATATAATTGAATTTTTTTTTCAACCAAAGATTAAAACATTAAGTATTATAGTTATTATAATTAGTGGTAATGTACTTATTTCACTAAGTTTATGGCCATGTGTCGAGATTTTTAAGGAATATATTATTTTTAAAATATATGCAAATGTATAATTGAAAAAATCTGACTTTAAAATATAATATATATTAATGAGCATGTAATATGTAGTTTTACTTATATTTTGATGTTTATAAAAGTTTCATAAATGACCATTCAGAAAGATCATAAAATAAGTGAAACTTATTGTTTGTATAGTTTTTTTTAATAAAACTTACAAAGCTTTAATTTTATTTTAAATAGATAAGCATGTGAAATTATTTCATTTAGAACAATTATTAACATTTATATAGAACTTTTTTCATAGAAAAGCTTTAAGTTCCATATATACAATAAATAATTAGAAGAGTATAACAATTAAAACAATCAATTAAAGGTTTGTGGTTTATTTTACATTATACGGAACTATAATAAATGGTATTTTGAATGTATTAAATTATCAGTCCCTGGTGATAACGTTCAGCAGCTCTTCTAGAACACACACTTCGGGCAAAATGAAAAACCAAATTAGAATGCGAATAACAGTAAGAAAGCCATCATAAGACAGAAAAGTCCCATAGCTTCTGACAATGCAAATCCAAGAATGGCATATGAGAATAGTTGTTGTTTAAGGGATGGATTACGTGCATAACCAATGATTAATGATCCAAAGACTGAACCAATACCAGCTCCTGTAAATAATTTATGTAAGTCATTTGTAAACATTTGTTAGTTTTCTTTTTTATTCTTCATTTTTCTGACCTGATCCTGCTACTCCTACGGTGGCTGCTCCAGCACCAATAAATTTAGCTGCTGAATCAATGTCTTTCGTTACTGCTGTAGTTTGCAGACAACGAACTTGTGGTAAAATGCTAGATTGAGCGGCTGCAGGTAATACATTGATAGTAGAGCTTTGAGTCAATACTGCACTTGAGATTGGTCGCAGATATGCCTTTGATCCATTGACAAACTAAAAAAAAATGTTGAATTTATACTCAATAAAATATACACAGATGAAAGGCTGAAATTATTTGATAATTGTGCAAGTTCAATGGAAATGTGATATTTGATGGATTATGTAAGACATGCAAGTACACTAATTTTAAAAATTTGATCACGAAAATTATTATATAATAAAATTATTGGTTATGTAATATAAGTAACAATAAATATTAATAGCTTACTGCGGATTTGGCGACTGGGGCGATGAATTTTGCTGCTGAGAACATCTTGGTGTGTTTTAATTTGTTGTGGTTCTAGAAACTGAAATCGTAAAGAGCCATTAATTACATGAAAACACTTCACTTATACTAAATAGTACTAAATATTTGAAGCTATGAATTGTTTGAGAAGGTACGAACTACGAGTTACGTAATTGTAGTAATCATGCAAAAAAGAGGAAATTTCATGTTTCTCTTATCTTCAAATTTAAATGTAATCTCGTGACTATTAAGGAAGTTTTTATAGCACTATAATATTTTTATTTTAGTATTTGTTGATCTACCGAAATAAAAATGGAGATAATATATAACCGACGTAAAATTGCACTAAAATTTAATTTTCCACACTTAAAATTCGTCGAACATGAATTAATATCGCACCTTGTAACTCTCGATGGTTTAGTAAAACACAAATATTTTAAGATAACAAGTTTTATAATATCTTTCCGATCACTTACCAACGAATCCTATATTAACTAAATAGCCCGAACTGAATAATGAACCCTGACGTAGACTTCTTGCTATTCGCTGGTTATATGCAAACGTGCGAAAGAGACGTAGGACACGATTTCCTGCTGTTCGACTTATGATTGGTCAACTTGGGTTGTGGCACGATATATCGGTACAAGAACCATTTACTAAAGCCAACATAGACACAAGTGCGAACTTATTGATAAAACGATACTTGGCGAAGAAAGCCGAACGAAAGTGTCATACCAATATTAAATTATAGACGCGGTAAAATATAAATATTAATAAAATAATTAGATAGAAATATCCTTAAATGGAAAATCAAAGGTAATATTTATAGTTATGTATTCTAAGCGTAATAATTTGAAACGGAGCATAATTATCCAAACATTCGTTTTGCATTTTTAAAATACGTAGCAAAAAGAAAACTGATATTTATAAAATACGATTTTTAAAATTTATAAACTTGCTGTAATTATATTTTACAGTATTACAGTTCAGTTTGCTCAGTTTTTTTTATTTTTAGCTAAAAATCTTCTAATATTTTCTTTTTCTAGCATAAATACTTCGTGTCACATCAGTAAGTTGGCAGTTCTGAACGAATTGTTTATGAATGATTGTCATATGATTGTCATGTTAGCTTTGAAAATTATTAATGTTTTAGTTTTTGGACTACATTGTCTTGTTATCTAAAGTGCTTTTAAACATTTATTAGTGTATTCAGTGTTTTTGTAGCTTTTTAAACAATTGTTTCAGATTGCATCAGTTCATAATTAGTTTTACTACTTATAATGAAGGATAATGGAAGAATCAGAGTAAACTGGATTTTATGTTATAGAGGTATAAGCTGAGTCATGTTTGAGGAAATATTTGAATTATGTTGATAAACCCAATTAAGTTTAAATTAAAACGCATGTGCTAATATGTTATTTTTTATGCATAATAGGAGGTTAATGAACTGATAAAAATCATTAAGGTTAACTTTACGTTTATAGCATGAACAGTTTAATTTTAATTTGACTATTATTTTCTATAGATTTTCTATGTAATTTTTTTTTAAGTTTAATTATGTTATGTATTTATAATTTTGTATATATTTGTAGAAATAAAGTTTATTTTACAAATGTCAATTTTTTATTCAATGATATATTAGTTCAATTTAATTTATTATTGTTCATTTTATTATTGTCTTCCATTAAACTTAGTATTGTGAAAATTATACAAAATAATTTATTTTGATTTTAATTATTTAAATTTTTTTTGTTTCAGTAATATTTATTATGATTTTGTATTTGAAAAATACTATATTGTAATCTGTAATAAGATTGAAATTGTTGTGCTCATAAAAGCAAATTACAGGTCACTGAAATTGTCATTTGATCTTCCACAAATATTGTTTTTAAAATGCAAGTGTTTCATTGGAGAGCATGGGCATTGATTTTTGCCAAATGCATTTTTGCATCGGAGTTGTCACTAGAATTGCCGTATCATATCATATAGCTACTGATCATAATTACTTATTTATTCGAATTTATGGAATCATGCCTACAGAAAATATACCTCAAGAATTGAAAATTGAATATAAATCATCTGTGACAACATATTCTCCAATAATTCAATTAGTGCCTTCTGATGCAAATGTACACATAACAGATGACATAGCAAGTGTGAAATTATCTTGTAAATATTTTCCTTACAAAGGATTATACAGTTTGATTGTGCATACTGATAATGGAACACGGGTTTGCAAAGAATTAAATGTTATTACACCAAGTATTGATTTGATTGTTTCTCCTACAACATTCACTACATATCCTGATAAGCCTGTACTAGTACATTTTAAAGCTCCAGATAATTGTAGTGATGAATCAGATGAAAATTTGTTAGTTTTGATTCTGATATTTTGTGGCGAAGATACCTATTGTAATAGTGAAAGTTCAACTAATGGTCATCACAAAATCTATTCCCAAACTCTGCGAAAGCGAGATATAGTGTCATATAAAACAGAGCTTACTTGTCAGTTGTTTGGTCAAGCTGGTTACTATGGAATACAATTGAAGGATGATCTTACGAAAAAAATAATTTTAGCATCAACTATTGTCAAGGTAAACTCGTTTCATTGTTGTAATATATATATATATATATATATATATATATATATATATATATTTGAATAGTCTTGA